ATCAGGGACTTACAAAATATTTAAGAGTTTGGAAGTGTTTCTCATGTCAAAAGTCTTGATTCAGGCTCATTATTTGATTGCAAAACATTATCAACCCTATGACAGACAAGTGCTGGACTGGAATACCAATCAAACCCATAGCATCAGGGAGGGTATAACATCACCCCTCAATTTGGTTTTACTATTAACAAACATTACTGAATATTTCAGTCAACATACCATTCACATACATCAATAAAAACATCCCACTTATAAACAGATGTCAGGGTAGAGATTGTGATCTGGTAGAATTGGAGATTCTAAAAGTAGAGATGGCGATTGTATAGGTTATATTCTATATAATCAGTGTCTACCAGTAGGGACTCTGATCACAATCTCTACTATAGTGCGTTTGGCTCAAAAGCGGACCGATGAATTGCAAGCTAACTCGAAAACTAATAAACATAACATACTCAATGAAACACTGATCATAATCAAAACATCAGACCAACTCTGTGATTTGTTTGCAGAATTTATGTCCTAAAATTTAAAAAGTTGTTTAACAAACTATCATTAAAATATTGACAGAGTTCACTATTTGTTACGTCGAGGGAGGAGTACAGAGAAAGGGACAGCCAGGTGTTAGAGGAGCACGTGCACAAGTACCGACAAAGTTATTGATTCATTAACCTGTGCTGTGCCATCTCCATCCTTTCTCACACATCTGGCTGTCCCTTTCTCTGTACTCCTCCCTCGTAACAAATAGTGAACTGTGTCAATATTTTAATGATAGTTTGTTAAACTTTTTTATTTTTAGGACATAAATTCTGCAAAAAACTCACAGAGTTGGGGTCTGACGTTTTGATTATGATCAGTGTTTCATTGAGTATTTTCTGTTTATTAGTTTTCGAGTTAGATTGCAATTCATCAGTCTGCTTTTGAGCCAAACAGACTATAGTAGAATCTCTGATTCTTCCAGATCGCAGTCTGTACCCTGATATAGATACCGACGGTTTTACCTCACCAACAAAACAGTTTGATCTGTGAACACCTCCATCCTACCATACCCCCGACATATAATTTCAAGGGTCCTTACAGTAAATATGAGATACTCCTGTGAAGTAATGAAATAGTTAAGTGTGCTGTATGAATTTCTAATTGTTTTAATTACAGGTCCTTTATATTTTTGTTAAGAATCTTGTACAATGTATATTGTTGTGAACAAATTGGGATCCAATATTTAACGGTGTCCATTCTATTACTTTGTGTGTATTGGACATACATTTCTGTGTCATGTACAATTTTGGATATCTGTAAAAGTTTATGTTTTGGAAAGTTTTTCACCCATAGCAGTGTAATATTTTTTATTACACTGCTTAACTGAAAAACTTGCCAAAAAACCCAAAGTGTTGCCATGGTTACGAGTATTTTGTAATCCTAGTTACCATGGTAACACCTGTGTTTTTGTCTGTTTTCATAGCTTAGAAGTACATGATCATCATGGGTATCATGGAAAACATGCATTAATTATATCACTCCATTTTCAGCTTAAAACACACTGGATAAGATCACAAAATCACAATCACAGCCTGGTAGAAAATGTAAATGTTGGTAAGTAAATGTAAACATGACTCGGTGCCTAAACAAATAACAATTTCTTATTGTTTCCTTCAAAACATATTTAACATGTTGGTATTGTAAAATGTTAAAATTGTACAAAATAAATTGATGTCAAGAAAATTTCATATCGACAGGAGTGTGCACTGCCAGGAAGTTATCTAGATGGGTTAATTTTATTGGACATAAAAATGTCCTTCAGGTTTTTAAAAGTCAGGTATTGATGCAGATAAATGTCTAGCAAAACTTGAAAAATTCAAGAAAAGTTTTAAGATATTTGATTCCAGCTAAATCCCTGTAGGATGGTAACACAAGCCTAATGCCATCAGTTCATTGTGATCTCTGCAATGTGACATAGTATCTATATGGGTTCATCCAACAATTGCAATCAGTCTAGTACAATACAGGTCACACAGTGTTGTATATTCCCCAGGGATCTGATAATGAATATTGAGTGCCCACCTAACTACTGACTGGGGTGTATCTCTTGCTTGGTAACGGTGTTAGCATCTACACCGAAACGTCGCATCCAATGCAATAAAGACGTCCATAAGGAATCGTTCCTGTTCTGGGGTGATGATGTCAGCACTTTGAGCATACTGATTGAAGGATGCGATGCTCTACATCATTATCATTATTAGTTACAGGGGTTCAAAAATCCCATCGCCCGACGCCCGGGACAAGCCAGTTTTCATTTCGGGCAACCAAATAATGGTATCTTACTTGTCCGTAATACTAGATAATTTCCACTTATGGTTTCAAACTGCAAATAAACTTTGATTTAATTTCATATCTGCTCAAAATGTAGCTATTACATTTCGCAATGATAATAAAGTAGAGTTATCTTTCTTTGCTATTTATCACTTTTCAATAAATAGTCCAATAAACATTAACATCAAATACCATGTTGATTTCTTCTTTCATAATTACATCATCATAATTATGTAATAAAATCAGGGCAAGTGGAAAATTAGTCAGGACAAGTTACTTTCTTAAAGTCACTTGCCCTGTGGTAAGTGGCTTTTTAAAAAAAAATTGAACCCCTGACTTATCAAGGTGTTTGGTTTGTTGTATTGCAATATTCCAGCTATATGATGTCAACATGTATACTCCAGGTACAATGACAATGACAACTATGACACCATCGTGAGCCTCCTGCAACCAAAACAAGTGGCTGGGACCTGAATACATGACACTTTTATGGATAACAACTTCTTTTTATTCTCTACACAACGTTTCAGAGCTAATTCTTGCTCCTTCATCAGGCAATTAGTGACATGAACCAGTACAACAGCATCGTCCACAAGAACATCAGGACCAACAACCACCTCACCTTTCTACTACGCTGCAGAGATAACAAGATAATTCCTAAAGGCCTACGTTTGAAGTCACCTGTCCAACCACCGTATAAAGAATAAAAAGAAGTTGTTATCCATAAAAGTGTCATGTATTCATGTTCGTCCAACTTCTAAATGCCTTTCAAAACCTTCCTTTGGCTGGGACCTATTCCAACAACAACAGAAATTAGTGCCAATTGGAGAGATAGATAGGAGCAACTGTGACTTCAGTACATCCAGGAATGTGCTGACATTGGATGTGGAAGGGACGGGTTGTGTCCCATATTGGGAGGAAGGCGTTGATCGGGATGCGTCGCCACCATCCCCTGGTGACTGGGATGAGGTAGGGCAGTCGGCTGCAAGGGGGTTAGAGGCTGCAGGCATCCTTGTCCTACAACCAAGCCATTCTGACCTTGAACCTGTGACAGAGCATGCTGGCCGGACACCACCTGTAACCCTGCTTGGTTACCTGTGGCGAACATTGGGCTTGGGTCAGAGGCCAGGGCGTGGATGGGAATTCCTCCTGAAGTTGACAGGACATGATCAGAGACCATCGGAACATTATTGTCTGAATAATAGGAGTGATCAACAGCCACCATCATCCTATGTGTGGGTCTCTCTTTGTCCTCAGCCAGATCCTGCTGCTCCGAGATCTGGCTGGAGTCTATTGTTGTGAGCACAACATGCTCTGTCAAAACACGAGGTTCTTCAACATCTCCCATTTCAACGTCCATCACGGATGTGCTTTCAGCGTCTCGGATGCTCTCTGTTGCTTCTTGCAGGATATCCCTTTCTGCTGGGCAGCAACGCTGTCCTTGTGGCCAGGTTTCAGTCGGTCAGGAAGATGGAGTTTTCGTGATCTTCTTTCATGACGGTTCATGCTTCTTCCGATCATTGGTTCTCTTGAACCCTTGCCACAAAAGCTGCACTTATGAACCATCTGTTCTGAATGGCGCCGCACATGATCCTGACGCGAAGGTTGCTTTTGCAAAAGCTTTTCCACAAATATCACATCCAAAAGGACGCTCATCACCTGTGTGGATGCCCATATGACTCTGAAGGGCATGGTTGTTAGAGAAGCCATGTTTGCAGACACTGCAGTAGAGTAGTCTCCCCTTGCAATGCTTCTGCTGGTGGAGTTTGAAGTAGGGATCGATTGACGGAACCAGTCGCCACATGTGTGACACTGGATCAGGTTCTCCCTGTGTGAGTCTTAATGATGAACCTGAAGCAGACAAACGTCAATAGTACAAAATTATGATTATGTCCAACTCCAAGGATAATAATTCAAACTATTCATCAGAACAGATTGATCAGTGTGAAGTTTTCAAATCTGTTCCATTTAACCTAGTAATCATGACCACGAAGGATTTCGACAGTCAATGACCAGTATCTGTATGACAAAGGTTAAAACAGGCATGACACTAAAATACCCTAAAACACTGCATTAAATATTTAAATGGATATCACAAATGTCGAAACTAAATCTGAACTTACAAGTCCTACACAAAGGTTCCCAGTACTTTTTTAAACAATGAATTACAAGCAACCATGGTAACAAACAATGAGTGTGTGACTTGTGAGTGGGTTCGACACTGCTTTAAGCAATATTTCATATATAATATGGCATGTCAGCCTTGGGGAAAAGTCTGCCAATGCCAGTTTGGTGAAACCCACAATCACCTGTATGGTGCTCACAGACCTAGTATATAATCAGGTTGAAACCACCAATCATAAGTTTATGGCAAGAAGAAGAAATGTAACTCTTCACCGTGAACTGTAGTGCCTCAGATGACTTGGCCACCCGTGCATATTAAAGAGTGAGTGAGTGAGTGTAGTTTTACGCCGTACTCAGCAATATTCCAGCTATATGGCGGCAGTCTGTAAATAATTGAGTCAGGACCAGACAATCGAGTGATCAACAGCATCGATCTGCACAATTGGGATACAATGACATGTGTCAACCAAGTTCGCGAGCCTGGCCACCCGATCCCCGTTAGTCAGCCTCTTAAGACAAGCATGGGTTACTGAAGATCAATATTCTAACCCGACCTTCACAGGTCGATATTAAAGAGGCCCTGGATGAAGAAAATGTTGGAACTTACCTGAAGGTACCAGGAACCGCGATACATGCTTCACAGATGTCACACTTTTGTGTACGGTACCCGCATGGGTCTGGTTGTGAGACTTCAGGGCATTGGATGTCAAAACGACTTCCCACACAGCTCACAGATGAACTTCTTTGCCCCAAAATGAATGTTGGTGTGCTTAGTTAGCTGCCTCGGAGTTGCAAAACCTTTCCCACATTCATTACATTTGTGTGGCCGATCATCTATGTGCACGACCACATGACGATTCAAGGATTCCTTCAGAGTAAACTTTTTGTTGCATACATCGCACTTAAATGGTTTCTCGCCAGTGTGAATTCTAAGATGGAGTTTGAGGTCACTTGCATCAAAGAACCTTTTGTCGCACATCGTACACTTGTGAGGCTTGTCGCCAGAGTGAGTCCGTTTATGACGATTCAATCGGGACAATGTAAGACAACCTTTACCACAAAAGTCACAAACGTATGGTCGGACACCAGAATGGATTCCTTGGTGCTGCGTCAGAGTTTTTCCGGAGTGGAATTCCTTACCGCACGTATCACATTTGACAGCTTTGCTGCTATGTACACGCTGATGGATGTGGAATGATGAAGAGTTGGTGAAACATTTACCGCACTTATCACACTGGTACGGCTTCTCGCCAGTGTGGTTGCGCTCATGTACCTTCAGGTAACACACTTCAGTGAAGCCTTTACCACAAACAGGACACTTGTACGGCCGGTCAGCTTCATGTGTCTTCATGTGATGGGTCAGGTGGCCATTCCTCACAAACGCTGCTCCCACATATTATCGCACTGGAAAGGTCGCTCACCTGTGTGTATTCTCATGTGGTACTTGGAGCCGACTTGGGATGTGAAAACCTTTGCCACAAACATTGCATTCATATTCTGTACTGTCGCTATGAACACGTTCATGACTCTTCAGAGTCTTCAGCATTTGGTAAGTTCTTCCACACACAGCACACTTGTAAGGGCGGAGATCACTCACACTTCTTTTTCTTTTCGTTTCTCTTCGTGTTTCAGTATTTTTACCCTTTGAACTTTCCTTTTCATTCACAACTACATTTTCACTTATGACTTTACTTTCACTTGTCACATCTGTCTCCTCCTTTGCACTTTTCCTGGTACTATCGGCTTCAACCAAATTATCAGTCAGCTGATCACTACAGGGTACTTCATGAGATTTTACATGTTGAAGAATTTCGTTCTTTGATACAAAACTCTTACCACAAACATTGCATTCAAACTTTTTGTTTTTGGATCTTCTAGTTGTCTTCACAACTTCCTTGAACATGGAAGTCTTATTGTCAGGCTGGTCAGGAGAAAGCTCCACATCTTTAGCTGACTCCAGTTTCAAAACCTTCTTAATTTTCTGCGCCCTTGTTGCAGGCTTAGCCTTTGCTGTGGGAGTCTGGGATGGCCCTGAGGCTTTTCTTCTAGTCAAGGGTTTCATGTCTTCCTTTCTCTGCCGATCATCATCATCTTTATCATCCTCAACATCATCATCCCCATCCTCTCGGACATCTGAATCTACATCTAACCTCTCCATCATTTTGATTGTTGTTTTCCTCCTCCTTGGGATCCCCCTTCTTTGTCCTCCTGCTTCATCTGCCTTTGGTGCTGCATCTGTAACAGCACTGACAGCATCACACTGCAGCTTCTCATCAGCAGCCTTCCCTGCTACACAATGCTCACATCGACTTTTATCACTCAATTCAAAGATCATATTTATTTCCCCAGCATTTTGAGGAACATGATTTCGGCATGTTGTACAGTTTCCAGCTATTTGGTGAACCTTGCAATATGAGCTCTTACACTGGATCACACCCCGCTCAAGCATATCCATGAAATGAGGCATCATCTCATTGTTTTCAATATGGACTCGGATCTGCAGATCAACGTCTTGTTCATTGATTACCTTTGTCTGGACGACATGACACATAAACGCTGCCTCCATCACCTGTAGACTTTCAGCCAGCTGGTCTACTAGGCGACTGTCTTTTTCAGACTGGTTCTCTCTTCTGCCATCTTCTACCTGGTAAATGGGTAAATTGGGCTCTTCATCTCCACTGTCGCTGTCAGTAAAGGACACCTCCATATTTAGAGCAAGTCTCAGTTCTCTTTGTATTTTTTACATACAGCCATCATGTTCGGATCATGGTATCCTGAAATCTGAATGCTTTTTCATAAATATGTGAAATTAAAGAACATATTAGCAGTAAGAGTCAGTTTAACAATCTAACTAAAATCTAATCTTTTACTCACATACAATATCTCGCTGAGTGAATATTTCACCACAACTCATTAGGAGTCAATCAGATAATCGATGAAGTGCAGCTAAATCCTTATACCAGTGATTATTGATGAAACATGCATTCAGATTTAAGAAAACTGGATTTCTGTAAATCTCTTCAAAGCTATTTTCATATACAAAGGAGGTACCTTGTGAAGTAGACCATCAGTTTCTGTCCAACATTAAATTAAACAAATTGGAAACACAAAGACAACCAAGTACATAATTACCTAATAATTTACAAAAATATAGGATTAAATTCAATGTAGTCTGTTGTTTTCACTGTAAAGTTATCTTTTATAATTTACTAAGATGTGTTATAGTCATGATAAGAAAGATAACAGGGGCGGTGGGGTAGCCTTGTGGTTAAAGCGTTGGCTCGTCACGCCGAAGACCCGGGTTCGAATCCCCACATGGCTACAATGTGTGAAGCCCATTTCTGGTGTCCCCCGCCGCGATGTTGCTGGAATATTGCTAAAAGCGGCGTAAAACTAAAACTCAGTCAGTCAGTCAGAAAGATAACAGAAAGTTTCTTATCTATCAGTATGCAATCATCTATTCTAAGTCGAACTGACAGCTGTTGATTTTTGACAGGTGGGAACATCCTACATTCGCTGTTTGGATACACCATCACAGATATAAACTAATGCACATGTAACAAACCATACATATTTCAACACTTAGCCTGATTCTTTTGTAATCTAAGATTGAAATAATAACTTTCATCGTAACGTACTAAAGATTTTGATCAGCTGTTGAAATAAAACAACATTGAAAGAACACGTATTAAAGATGGCCAAATACCTATTTATAGCAACTACTTACTCCTCAAACATTACTTCAAGTATAAGATGGTTACTCAGTCGTGCATTCGCGGTGTATTCCTGATACTGTGTGTTTCGTGAAATGCTTGACATGATTCGCCATGATTTATACAGGGGAGACAACTCTTTGGCCTAAGAAGAACGTGTACCGTTACAAACTGGGACAGGGCAGCTGACTTTTTGACGACACAACTTGATTCGACCGACGTTTATATCTGGTACATCTTGGTTAAAACCAGAATTGGACACACGTACTACCTGTCACGTGGTTGCATGCAGATAATCAGTAATTATTCACTTGAATACTTCCAGTGGCTGCATACAACATTAGATATGTAAATATTTATCTGTGCGGAAGCGCAAGTGTAAATGACAGCTGGTATGGTCGAAGGGCTTCACATTAATGCATTCTTTCTTTTGCCTGGACTTCATGTTTATATACATTATTTGACAAACACATTCAACATTTTCAGGCAAAAGCACCGAAATATTTCTGGTTGATATCAACAAATTGAAAATCTAAGCGTATAATAATCTATCATGAATGTTTTCCCAATTTCTTGTGGATGTGTCACCCCTGCCCTCTGGGTTTTTGAGAGAACACTTTGCAGAAAAGAAGATTTGAATAATGGTTTCACTGAGCAAAACAGTTTCCATCTACCACATACTACACTTTGTAGTTAACTGTCGTATATAATGAGGAAAACACGATGAGGGACTTGCGCGTTCATGTTGTTCGGTGTGGTTTACGATACGCACAAATTTGATTCAAATTATAAAGAGAAGATGTTCACCGTGGATTAGACGTAAACCGTCCTGAAACTTAGCGTTTGCTGCATTGGTAAATGAGTAGGGGTTGGCTCCCATGTGCCGTGTGCCGGGAGTCACTGTGAAGAGCCAGTCACCGAGAACCTGGGCAGGGTTGGGTTACGTAGACTGGCGGCAAGTCTCCGTCATTGTATTCTCAGGCTGCGGCTGGAGGTAACTTGACCCGCCCGTATCTCACCAGCTGTGAACAGAAATCTCGCGCCGACTTCTTGCGTGAAAGAAAAAACTTTTGCAATGTTCTTCACTTCGTTAAACATGTATCATGTGTTTTTAAGAATTATTAGTTAAATACATCGTTTTATCAGCAAAACGGAAATGTATTATTTGGTTAAGGCTTGATAACACGTATATAACCACATTTTATGTAATCTGAGAACCTTGATATCCCTCACATCATTTCTATTTAGTCCAGAATGTGCTGTTTATACATGGGGACACTCCCAACAAAACTTCGGTCATACTGTGTGGTCTAATCAAGCAGGAACGTTTGCCGAAATAATTAAACAATGTCATTATTACTTATTCCTTTTTAACTTACATATTAGACCCATTATACCTTTTTTCACAAATTCACCCTGGTCACGGCTTTAACTATACATCGTGTAGTAACGTAGAGCAACCTGCTATATGTACTATATACATTACAGAATACAGAGCGCATCAACGCCCACTTGGGTGATGTGTTACAGTATGTTTGATCATAAAGTGAACTATTACATGACGTCGTGTACACTGGAACGCGTATCATGATTAATGCGGTATGCATCGTGCGTAACGAATCTCCATGTCATGTTTTCATCACTCTTTTTGGAAACATTCGGCCACCGTGAAATTGCTGGAATATTGCTTGTAGCGGCGTAAAACCAAATTCACTCCTTCTATTCCTGCGTGACATTGGGTCAGTACTTCGTATGGAACCCATTCAGGTATTATTGCCCCGCCGCCGTGATACGGCCACAGAAAGTACTTAAAGCTACAAAACCATTCAAACGCATGCGGTGCACACAGAGAACACAACTATGAGGTACAGTATAACAAACGAGAACCATTTATTTCATAACACAAAGAAACATTTATGCATACATAAATGTAAGTTTATGATACATATCATAAGTAAAAGGATATTTGGGAGCACTTGCACACTTGTGAAAGTATAATAATGCACAAGACATGATCCTCTACATGATCCTTATAACTACAGGGATAAGAAAATAATAACAAGATAAGAACAAACCAGAGGTAGACTATGTGTTGAAATGAACTTATACGTGTTCTAAACAATGTGCTATTATTATATGTTTTGCTACTCATCATATATATATATATATATATATATATATATATATATATATATATATATATAGATAGATAGATAGATAGATAGATAGATAGATTCATGATAGATCTTCTTTATGTAGTTTTAGAATATTGTTACTGTTTCTGTGTGGAACGTTTGCACAATAAATATTTTATCTCATATCCCTGTACCTGTTAAAATGTTGAATATGATTTATTTTTTTCGTCTGTAACCGCAAAGCGTACATCTAGACTAAGGCTTAGTCTCTGAATATATACTCAGCGTCATTAATGAAGGGTCAAGCTATTGGTGAAGCTATTTCTCAAAAGTTGTAAAAGCTTCGTATTTCTTTGAAATATATACAACTGAATGCTTTACAAACTGTCTTAACAGTATGAAAAAACAGATCAGGCCGTTGAAATGTCATTATTACATTCTTTAACGTCCGCTACATTCTGCTACACATGGCACAATCTTTATTCAAATTGTCAATATGGAAATCCACCTGCTACTTAATGTCAGCGATTTGCACGTGCAACTCGCTCTATCCATGGAAAGTGGAGGTCAGGGTGATAACTCTTCACAAACTAATGAAGAAGGATTAACGGAGTTGTCTCTCTTGAATGAACCAAGCGCTTGATAGCTGTCAAGGTTGTTTATACTAGAAATCCAATTAAACATATTCCTAAAATTCTCAATATTTTCTGGTCATACTATACCATAAATAGGGGATTATAAGATGAAAGAGACTAAAATATACTAGTCTAATAGGTGTACATCTTTAACATTGCAGGAGGGCTGAGCAGTTGGGGCAATAATGTGGTTCAGACACTGTCAGACATACTAGCGTACGGCGTTTTTGGTTGTCCGATTGGACTAAAACAGGAATGTGTATTAAGCCTCATTCTATTTACTACTTCATCAATGAGTTGGCTGCCGATGATTTTGATATTTGTTGTAGAGGAGTACCATTACTCCCTGATTTACATCAACTGTTTCTTCTGATGATGTTACTTTTATGTGTGATCCAGTAAGTGGGTTACAAGCGCAACTTAATATTCTACATATCTACTGTTGAACATGGAAGTTAAATGCTAACCTATCGGTACCTTGGACTGTTGATGACTCCATCATTAGAAGTAACAACAGGAGTAACACATTTGGCGTTAAACGGGGGAAAAGGGCATTATATCAATGGATGCTTTCAATTTGGTTTTGACATAATGAAAAGTCTACTCAGAACATTTTCCAAGAGATTTGCTTAAAATAAAACCCATTTTGCACTAAGGCAAAATACGGGGCTATTAATGAATTCCTTGTTAAATTGATCTTATACAGTACGTATGAGAGAGTGGTTTATTCAGTTCCTACACTGGCTTTTATTACAATGAGCATTTGACTATCCGTCTGGAATCTGAAACAGAATAACATATACTGAAACATTCAGGAATTGCGATAGTGCGACGTGATGAGTACAACATTTGCTTCAGTTTGCATTCTTTCTTTTCAGCCATGTTACTTTGACATAAAGGCAGAACATAGTATATCCAAGTAAAATTGAGTCCAAGGTTCAAGGATGCCCTATATAATTTATTATCTGGATTTCAACATAAGCCACAAATTCACAAGGCTTATAGTATCTTAATGAAGTGTCTGTGTGTTTTAAGGGTGTCGAGCTTCGTCAAACTGGCATTTGCTCTCCCTTTCCTTTTCTAACCCAGATAACCCGTGAATATTCGGGTTGATCTTCAGTAACCCATGCTTGCCAACTAACTGGATCGGTTGGTCAGACTCGCTTACTTATTCATGTTATCGTATCTCAATTGCGTTGATCGATGTTCATGCTGTTGATCACTGGATTGCCTGGTACAGACTCGATTATTTACACACCGCCGCCATATAGCTGGCATATTGCTGAGTGCGGCGTAAATTTAAACTCACTCATTCACTCTAACGAACATACACATACCCACGTGTGGCATACTCATCCAGTCAAGAATTATACGCTCCGAAATGCTTCCTGACATGAAAGAAAATGTAGTCTTCCACCACCTTCACAAAATAGTCGTTCCTGAAATATACATGAATAAAAAAAGATAGCACCTTTATCAGAGCTCAAGCCACGTACAAACAATAGAACAATTTTATTCTAAATACATTTACCTTATAACCTTCAGTCACATACCTTGGACGTCCACTCTGTAGTACAGCATCCGGAAGTACCAAATTTCTTTTGGTTATATCATACAGTCTGAAAATAGTATGACCATGCATGAAGTGTGTATATTTCATGGTAGTGCATGCTGGATCTCTAGCTGGTAATTATGTACGAAACATTCATTCTTTAGAATCACTTGTTTCTTATTACTGACACCAACCATCATCATGAACAACTCGTTTTTTATAAATTTCACTGTATCCTATCATTACCTTGGACCTCTTGTCCTGATTACTAATTTCGATTCCATCGCCTGCATAAGTATGGCATACCCCTGAAATGAAAATCATTCTACCATTGTTACATGTTCTCTTTACAAATTTACGCACACAATATTGAACAATATGAACATATCGGCATTAGTTAGGCTGAGACAAATTGTACTTTGGAACAGACGTAGAGGCATACAATGTAACAACTGTGTTTGATACATGTATATCGACACAATGCCCCACAAATAGCAGCGTTCGAAATACCTGCCTGCCCTACCGCCCGGGACGGGATATTTTGAACACGGACCTTCACATTCTCAAATTCACCTGCCCCACGGTCGGGTTAAAATTTGGACATGTATATGAAGATAATCGTCATATATCAGTATTAATTCACTCGTAAAAATAAATTGATGATAAACTACGTCGCTTGTATTATTTGCGGGAAGGTAAGTTTTGGTCAGGGCTGCCAAGTTTTACATCTCACCAGTCCTGTGGTCTGGCTGTAATTTGTGGGAGTTGCAAGTAGTCATAGTCATTTCTGACAAGAAGTTATGAAGTCACAGTACAGTTATACTTACAACGGCGTTGAGGTGGGACATTGCTCTGCTCCTCTCAAGTTTCTTTCCTTTAAAGAAGAGTATATGCCGCTCATACTCATTCGGTACTTCTGATGTTGTTTCTGTCGGATAATTGTACAACCGTGGAACATCTTCTTCAATTACTTTTTCCACCTGAAGGTTCGAAAAGAAAATCTTGTTGCAAAGGTTATCCAGTGTGCATAAATACTAGTACTAGTACAATAATAAAGAAGAAAAGGTGATCAACATCAGATTCAACATCCAATCATTCCATTTATGTACATCCCCTAATTAGTAACTTACAGTTATGCCAGTATATATTTAAGCTGATGAAGTAGGTGAATATATTTCAATATTCATACCACGTTCCGGAATTGTGATCGCTCCACAGTCTTCAGCTCCTCCAGATCATCAGCAAGTATAGTCACCTGCTGATCACCGAACTCAGCCATGTCCACTACGGGAACCGCTAATTGTATTAAAGAAACATATTCATTAAAACAGTATGCTAACTCCATGGAATCTCTCAAACCTTAACCCCCAACCCCCCTCACACACATAGACACACCATTACTCTCTCTCGCTCTCTCAAAACACACACACACACACACTTCCCTCTCTCCCTCAATTTACCCTTTTCTGGGAAATGATATACCCACTTAAAGCTGTTCTTCTCGCTGTCGCCTTTTCCACACATCCTTCGCTGAAATAGTAGTGAATTAAAATTAGTTTCTCGTACATCCAATGCTGCACAAGCTCACAGAGGTATAACAGTTCATTGGTTATAAATTATGCCTAAAACACAGTCGTAATGGTTAAGTGTTAGTAACAGGCACTTTGAAAATGCTTTGGCAGCTTTCGTTTATAATTGTCACAAGTGAAAGGTAGCATACCGTTGCAGCTGAACCTCAGGAGACTGCTTCTAAATGAAACAGAAACGTGTTTTATTCATGCACAAACAAAAGAACACTGTATTCTTTACAAAACATTCCATATTTTTTATATGCTCATCCATGCTCTAACCTCTTACAGTTACCGATATGTCATTGATTAGATTCATGTACCCGTGAATGGATCTTCGCTGGCGTATGTCCGGGTCGTCTTGTCCGTTTCAATGGCAGCGGTTGGTCTGCACACCATGAATCGGAAAATCTTTTCTGATATAGAAACATAACATACGTATTTGTAAGGCTGTATATCATTACCACAATTATTACTTACAACTCATTATGGTAGGAATTAAATTACGTCAGTTTCACATTCACTTATGAAGCCCGAAAATGTGCACATGAATACAACATACACAGTCATCGGAATCAGGCGCGTATCAAGTCAATTCTTTCGTGTAAACCCGATAGGTCGCGCAGCTTTATAGGTAGATAGTTTTCAGGGCTTGCCCAACTTTCAAGGGGATCTTTACCAAAAAATCATGTGTAAGTGAGTTTTTTTAGTGGTAGCTGCGCCCCTGGGAATATCATCATCGCAAAGTTGTGGAGATAAAGTGGCCTATTGACTTCGAAATAGCTAGATATTTCTCATGTTGGTATATTGGCTCTAGTGTAAAGACCATGCCATGTGGAACCATGTAGATGTGTGACATTGATTCATATAGTCAATGAGCCTATATTAATAACTGGGTATATCTGTATCTGTTTAGTTACCGTTTCAGTTTTTTTTTCAATGGCCATATTTAGTTCCGCTGTTACATACACCTGTATCAATCTGGATCGTCAATCTTTCGATATAGCACTTTGTTATTAGAGCCACGTTTCTCATTCTGAATATAATACATGCAACTCTGCTAAACGTATTTCCACCCTTCATGAAATGGAAAACTATGTATTTCAATCTAGGACACATATTATGTCTTACCGCCGGAACTTGCTCTCGCAGTCCGTATCTTCTTGGTACGTCATGTGTGGTCTTCTGAAATGGAAAGCGTTTTCGTGCAAGCATGTGTAAATAAATGCCTGTTCTATCAGAACGTGTATCTATCTATGTTCTATCAACGTCACAATCTTACTGAACACCCAAATAGACGTACCTTCGGTTGCATATCCTTCCCTGCATTCAAAATTTCTTCAGCAATGAAAGAACGGCAACTGCCCGGGTCAACCTGCAAAAATGTCATGATTGCTTTTTTTAGACATACATATATGTCAGTTTGCTGTCTGTCCGTCAAAAGTAAAATACACTGTATATTGAACAGAAACAGATAACTGAACTATGGAAATGGGCAATACAAAGTACTAGTAGTTGATATGGGCGAATACCATAATTGTCACGTCTACACCTGATGCATCCACCAATTTTTACTGCGGTACTCTTTTATGAACACGTGACCCTGTTCGTGTGCGTGGCTGTTCACGGATGAAGCTACCAATTCCAATGTCACAATGTAACACTACACAGAGCTGTTCTGACACGAAATGTCCTGCATAATGCATCGACACCAGCTGACCTTAGTCCCATCAGCTCTTGAAAGAAATCTTCGTGTCTTGAGAAGTCAACCCCAGAATGTTCAGCAGCTGGGTGCCATGTTGGTACAGCTAGGTTCATGGGTGTTAGGCAGTCGATGACACAATGTTGCCTTCCTGTTGTGCCCCAGGCGCACCTTAATGCCTAATCCTGTTTAAGTGTACGCTCATTACGTCCGTAAAATAGCCACATGTATCCGTTAACATCACACTTTGTTCTGTTAGGGTATGTTTGGGACATATAGTAACACATGTGAAGTTTGTTCTTTTTGTTCACACCATTAGAGACAGAACACAAACGTCAAAAAGGTCATACCTTTTTGTCCTTCCTGCATTCGTTCCAAGCATACTGAAACAAGTAAACGATTCTCAGTGTGACCCTTACATTAGTAAGTATACTTTCATTTATGTAAAATTTAAATATTTTCTGAATAGTTGTTGAATAAGTAAAAGTGAAATATGCAGCCATTAATTCAGTAAAACGTTTACAAAACCCTTTCAACACATCACTGTACTCACTATGCACACGTAAACCCCACAGCTAATAGTGTCCTTCTGTGTTGTGTACCCATGACCGACTTCTACGTTGAAGTGTGTTGGGTCAATGGCATCATCCGGTACATTCTGAAGTCTGTATTCCATGTACTCCCTTCATAGAAACATACCAAAGCAATGAGAGTAGAACCCGACAGATAACTCAACAATGAATAGACATAGACTAGGAGGCGTGAAGGTAGTTACCCTCTGTATGTGTGCGTGCGTGCAAGTATAATGTCCTCGTAGGTGTCAGAACAGGGCATGTACTAAGTCAACAATCATACCTTGTGATGTTGACCACCTCTTCATCAAATGTCCGGTTCATGGGGTCATAGAAACGCATTTGTTTGGTTTGTACATCCAAAACCTGAAGAATAAGTGTCATACTATTATATGTCAATACACCTGGCATGTCCCTTTCCCACTGAATAATACATTTGCTCCAAAATACAATATAAGGCTGCTGAAACGCCAGAAACACATCACTATTGGCGATAACCACAGATTACGACAAGTTACATTTAGTCATGACATCTGGATCAGATTCGGTGACAGGAAATCACAAAAGTTTCTATACACTGCTGAAATTCAACACGCGTCCCAGACACATATAGCTCATAAGTCACCACTCTTACTGTCTTATATACCCAGGAAATACCAATTACCAACAATGTCCAATGGCTGCCCTGTCTATGAATCGGTATAAACACTTTTTCTGCGTCTGAGAGTTTTTCCTGAAATATAACGAATATTGTCTGTTACATTTGGAACAATATTCGTTCTGAGGTGGCATCTTCATAATGCAGTAGTATTTGCAACATAGCAGGTACACAGTGAACGAATTGCCATATTGTGGCATTGCACAACAAACGAACAAACAAATTATAATGCGATCAACAATGAATTTGTTATATTCGTAGGAAATAATTCAATTCCATAATTAGTCATTGCCGACGTTTATCAACTGTTGCAGTGTATATTATCTCACAGGTATGTACTGTACTGTACTCAATATCAATTCATCACCTTTCGTAGAAGCGCCACTCTGTGACTCCTTCCCGACTTGAAATTTCGCCATCCCTCAATAACCTGAGTAGATAAAGCTACATTTCTTTCCTTACACTGAAGCAAATAACACGAAAAAAAGAACATGTTATATATTCAAGGACGAATATTGGTTACCGCCTGTAATTGTATACATAACTACAACATTCAGTCATATTGTATATTCTTTGAACAAACGAGTCGACATCTTGTATTGTTGTTATTTCTAAATTGTCTTGTAGGTTAAAAATCCTTTCACCCACCTCGCGTCCTTGACACAGCACATACAGGAAGGCATTTATTATCTGCAAAAGAAACGTATTTACTATTATTGTTACTTGGGTTTTTTCTTTTATCAGCGTGTAACAAACTGCTTATACTGTCATTTACACATACCTGATCATTCACCCAACCAACCGTCCATCTCATCTCTTTCTCTATTTTGTCTCTCATTTGGTCTTCGGTTTCTTTCGGAAGCCTTGGTGCTATCGTCAGGATATCCAGTTTTGAAACTCTATAGGGACCTATGGACACCACTATGTCGTCCAGTTGTCTGTTATCATTGCAGATATCTTGAAACTGAAAATAATTACATCAAAGCTTTTATGAAAACAACGGTATAGCTGCATCAGGCTGTGTTAGGTCCCACATATATTCTGTACTTCACATTATGTATTTTTAAGTCACAAGTGTTCAACACTGTAAACATTAAACATTACACCATGTCTACGATGCGATACATTGAATCACCCTCACCACATCAAGTTTAGTTGATGTTGATTCTGCTGAATTTGCTTGTTCTTGGATACACTCCAGTTGCCCTAAAATGACAATATGACGAATTGTTAGAGTACTTGCTTACTAAAATGACATATACGTCAAACGTTTGTATATTTTTACACAGGTATATCCATTCCGTGGGATGCAATTGGTGCACCACGCCCTTTGGTATGAAACATGAACCGAACACAATTCAGGACACTAACGGGCAATTGTATGAGTTCTGGGTAATGTTCCGCGACCTGCATTATTGCTGAAAACGATGTTACTTATTTCAAACTGCTGAGTACCACTGTATGAGTTAGTGAGCAATCTGTGAATTGTTTACATTTGCAATATCTCTTTAAGCGTATTCAGCGTATTTCACCGCAATTCCTGCATAAACGGACAACAACTGACCACGGCTATCCGAGAACACAGTGCCATTAGGTGTTAAAGACGAACAAGTGGTGCTGGTTCAAGAAAATATTCCACATTGTATGAAAAGTATTAGCGCAGTTTGTCGTACGACACGAATGCAATGCCTATGATGTGGGACTTTGTTATGATATCAACACCCTGATTTCAACTACAGGCCACCGGGGTCTGTAATGGGTATTTGTCACCCAGTGCGAGAAGAAAATGTGTTACATATCTGAGCAAGTATTTGGTATTGAATACATCACTTTCTGGAATAAGAAATCTATATCAATGACAATATTGAATACGGAATACTTTCCATCACGCTGGAGATCGAGACTCTGGTAATGCGCTTCATGATAGTGACCTAACATGATAGCTGCTCCTGGTCCACCGCTTATCATGACAACATTATTGTCTGACGCGGTTCCATCTTCAGAACTTGTGAAAACAGCAATGTCTTTTTTCAGAAGCTGCGACGTTCTCTGTACCACAAGGTGATCAGCGTATTCACCCGATTTAGCAATCGACTCCAAGTAAACGTTCCAGGTTTTGTGCCGTTGTACATCGACAAAATGGGATAGGTGTGTGCCCCCTTCCTGTGGTAAATAAATCAATATATAAGAAAAACTAGTATAACACAAAAATACTCTCTGTGTGTGTGTGTGTGAGCGAGTGAGTGCGCGCGCGTATTTGAAACCTAAGTTACGTTCAGAAGTAGATATTTGTGCGGATATATATCACTGCAAGCACTTACATAAGGATACCTCCGTAAGCTGTTAGCAACTGCAGTTCTTAATTCGAGGTGATCAAATGCTGATCTGCCATCCAAGCGTTGTAGCTGATCTACAACTGCATGAAAGAAGCAGTTGCCATCTCCGGGAGTCTTCCGTCGGAAACACAGTCCGTGTTGCAATACCGAGGCCTGTAAGCGCTCTGACGTCCCTGGGCGATGTCGTCTTGCGTTTAATTGACTGGCTTCTTGCAGAGCTACCCGGAGCTGTTCCAAGGTAACCTTGTGATCTGTGTCGTACAAAGTACAGTCAAAACAAGGAAATATATCTCTCAGTGGAAGGGGGGGTATCCATTCTATGTCCATGTCTGAACTGGTGCAGTAAAATGGGTCATAGCGAGGGTATCCCGATCTATCAATGTACATAACAGACACAACCATGTTACTTACATTTGAGCGATGCCTTTCTGCGCTCTTGTTTGTCTTCATGCACGGAACGGTCTGCTTCCCCTGTACAAAAACATCGACAATCAGCCTCGATTATTAGACTTAGCATATTACTTCGGTGATAACAATGACAATGAAAATACTAGTTTCTTACAATGCATGCTAAATTACGCTGCATGTTAAGTATATGAACACACACGGTAGAATAGAACTGTATCAATTTACCTTCTGTTGCATTGTCCGACAAGAAACACTGATTATTACAATATCAATAGATCAGACACTGAATTTCAGTTCAATAAACATTTTCTATAGTCAGCTCAAATCAGGTCATTTACCTGAAAGGTGCAGGCGGCCAAACGTGTCGTGTCGAATTTCACCACACAGAATGTCATTCTTCAGTTGTCCTTCGACTGCGGCTGTCATTTTCTTGTTTGTTTGTTGATTGTAAAAATGCAACAGCAGTCGAAGGACAAACATATAATTCCCAGGCGACATGACATCGAGAAAGTAGTTATTCCGGTTCATCTTCCTGTGCATTTGCTCTTCTACTTGAGAATTAATTCTGCCTTTCATTTCGGGAACAAGCGAAATACGTCTGAGCAGTTCTTGTTCCGATTTCGTGTTCCCTTCATGAAATCGATCAAGCAAACAGAATGTTTCACTTGATGGCAGGAAATGCGCATCGGAGTCCAGAGCATTTAGTGGAGCTACTGTCAGCCATTCCTTCATGTAAGGTATGCTCTTAGAAAAGTTTCCGTCCTTCGCCTTTTGTATGTTCTCAGCAGTTGCTTCAGCCAAACGTCCTTCATTTGGATAGAACATGTTCTTCCGCCTCCTGTTTCCATGACGTGACATCATCGGAGCTACATCACTGATGACTACTGGCGGTTGTCTTGACAAGGATAGTAATAAATCCACATGGTCCCTCACACTTTCAGGTCTCAGGATGGATTTAAACGCATACACGATTCTGTGGGGGCAGGAGGCTGACACCCATCCACCTTGAACGAACATGAAAATAATTACTCATAGAGGAAAATTAGCCTGACTTTTATCAGAAACTATACCCAGGGGCAAACGTTATTGTTACATGTCATCTTTTCAAGGTAACCTCATGAGTGATTGTTTCATCTGAACATGATAAAAAGTGTGTTAAAAAAGTCAGAGACAAGCAACCAAAATGGTTGTAGTTTACACAAAATATCCTATAACCACGATTCCAGAAAAATATCCAGCACCACACCATGTGTTCTGGAAGGGGATTGGTTTGGAGGTGAGGACAGTATGATCTAGATTAGGATGACATCAACAGCAGAACTGAAATGCTGTGAGGTACAGGGACTCGGTTTTATTCAGATGAACGCTTTACCGGGTTTTTTCAACTCAATATGCTAGATTTGCACATCAGTATCTTAATTAGAACAATGTTACTCTGGCAAAGGAGATCCCTCATTTGTCACCAATTAAACACGTGCTATGCAGCCCCTCCCCCCCCCCCCCCATGTTGTGGCGGATTTGTATTTTACCATAACTTGAAGCATTTGTCTTTCAGTGTAATAACAGAACATTCGCGGCAGTAAATGTTTAACACTGATTCTGATTGTTGTTTGTTGGTCACAAGAAATTGCAAGTTCAATCACTTTACCTGCCGCCTGATTTTTCACGACTCACTCGTGGTGAACACTTCCAAGGAGACTCTATACTGTTTGTTCGTTATTCATAGAAGGTCATACGGGTTGTCAGAGTCTAATTTTAGGCATTTGTTGTACATACAATATATCATATTTGTAACTTTGTTACGGTTTGTGTGTGTGTGTGTGAAGAGAGCCTACATGTGCTTATACTATTTATATATATTAGTTGAGACATAAGAATCTGCCAGCCCCTGCTGCCAGCAGATGTCCGAGGCTACTTTCCCAGGATTGGTAACAGCTGTGATATACCACTGTAACTAAGACTTATAGACTAATTGTCTTTTGTGGGGACTTGTGGGTTCTTACCTGATCGACAACAATAAGTGTGCGACAACGAATTTAAGATACACATGTGAAAGGAAAGAGCGTGAGAAAGAGTAAGAGAGCTTTAAGATACTTAAGAAGTAAGAAATGTTTTTTTAAGTTTCCAAGAGAAGAGACTGTTATAGGATTGTGTGTTGTTGGCTTAGAAGACATACGGTTTTTCAACCTGTCCAGCCATTGCCTAGCCACTGTCAAGTGATGTGAAGTTACATTTATTCTTTCATTGTGTGGATTGTATTTAGAAGAAGTGTCATAAGAAAGCTTGCAATTTGAGATCGAAGGGCATTTTGAAACCACTGGATCGAGATTTATACTTTTAAATCCTCTCCCCCCAACAGTTGGAGATTATAAGAACTCACACTGGTCATTTACAATGTCATAGAGCTTGAGTACTTACCAGAATGGCCCCATATGCCTGAGAATAACTTGTTGAAGGTTGATTTGCTTTTCAGTTTTTCCTTCAGTCTGTTTATCATTTCCAGTTTTGTCCCTTTGGCGTCTACTTCCATCTTTGTACACCAATGCCGTACCTCAGGAACCTGCAGGATTCAGTATAGAAACTATGAAAACCATGAGTGACCAAGCTTTCCACTTCAGTTGTGGCGCCTTAATACGCGGATACACTTCAAAGCGACACTGATATAATTTCTTTTACCAAGGATATGTAATACTTGAGCATCTAGGCAATACACTTACAAAGATACATACTTGCTTAATGCTGTACAGATTCAAGAACCCATTATCTCATTTGTGGATTTAGTTCCTCTACAGATTAAATCAAAGGAATTCAACCCATTTTCTAACGGAATAGTGTCAGCTATCCCGGAAACATCTGTGTTCGCCTTTAAACCGGATTGTTGTAGGATTTGAAAGAGCTTGTTTGTAATACGTCACGCCCAGCCACACTACGCCATACCATACCACAGTTTGCACAATTCACTGAGTCTGTCTAACTGATAATAGTGTAATGTCATATATGTCACATGTACCTTCTTTTCACACAGCATTTGCATCAGGACATCTTCCGTTAGGTCCCTATCCCCTGCATCAAAGTCTCCATCCTGAAGATGCTTTGTCAGTGATCTTAATTTTTCAGCTTCAGTGTTGAATGCCTTTGCATCTTTCCTCGCTAAGCCAACGAAAGGAGCCCAGTTGTCGTATGAAGGTGAAACACGCCCATCGTTGGCCGCTTCTAATACCATTTAAAAACATTCTAAAGAATATTAACAAACATACATCAGACATTACAAACATACATCAGACTGAAATTAGACAGTAACACCTCATTTAGCCTTGGCATATTAGACACTCACACAAACAAACTATTGGTCATTACTAATTCAAGACGATAAAGTGTACCTTTTCCAAAACCTCTGTATAACAAAGACGCCTCCACTGTTTGGTTCCAAAACACATCCATGTTGATTTCATCTGAAGCTGTTTCTGCCCCTGGTACCTGTGACACTGACGTCAACAAATGTCTACTGTGAGAAACGCATAAAGCAGAGATCATGAAACATGAATGTTGGACGGTTCACTAATGAAAGATACCGGAAACAGTTGACATCTTAGGGAAAAGAATGAACGACTTACATGCTAATGGAAATGCACATTTCCTGTTAGCATCTGTCACCAGGCAACATGGAAATCGGCCGCAGATGTCACAGGTGAAACTGTACTTGTGATCGCACATGGCCTCAAAATGCAGATACCCCTGTAACATTTTGTCTCCGGGAAAATGTAATCCTGTGTCTTCGGTTAATGTATCGGCAGCCCTTCCAATTGCCGTGTGGTTCTGAAACCATAAATTCGTGACAGTTAGTTATGTCGAAACAAATTTAAAGTTAAGAAGTATACATTGTACGAAAGGGACAACGTGGAAGGTGGCTACCTTTCATTTCGTTCGATAGATTTGTCCAAAAACGGAATATAGTAAGGGTATATTGTACCTTCAAGTTAACTCTGAACCAGTGACACAGGCGAATTGAAAGGAATATGTGGTCGTCAAAATTATGTATGCCATCCCTGTGCTCTTGGTACCTGTAGAAGTGACCGCACGTTTGACACTTCTTAACGTACACAGCTACATCTGACAATGAAAGGTTGTAAACAAATTATATAATTAATATGTAAAAAGAATTATGTTACACACATTAGGTTTTGAAAGCAACGTTATACAATTTAATTGAAACAATGTGAAATCGCCTCACATCACCCAACCCACACCGTCCGTCGAAATATTACTGGCTTCTTATAATTGTATTGTTATTTGTGGTTTGGAGGTAACATTAATAGTTTGCATAATTCAGTATTTCCCCTCAGCATACATACCTGTGTACACATGATCTTTATCATATATTTTCCCTTTTCTGGTTACCAGATACTGGTCAAGGTCTTCATTTCCACACATTGCACATTGTGTTTCGATTGGTGCCAAGTTTTCTACAGGTCCTAACTGTGTATTTTCCGGAAGTTTGAATTCTGGTGGTATTTTCTTCTGAGACGTTAGGTAATTTACCATTAAGCGTGCACCATGTCCAGACGGTGGATATGCCTCGCACAACCTGCTTCCCGATTCTCGTAAGGGTCGGGTTTCCATGGTTAATGATGGTATTGGTTCCTCGCTTGAGTTAGGGTCAACTGATACCTCTTCATCTACGCTGCACATATCCGTGTTGTTCTCAGCAGTACTGCTCAGCAACTCTGGGTGTTCTTGTGCCAAATACCATTTGACAAGATTCTTGTGTACGCAAGATCTGGTGGTTTTGCAACAAACACAATTTAGCTGTCCTCTTTCCTTTGTGAATGTTACTACAGCGCGACCGAGTTTTGCCCAATATTCCTTCGTTTCATCATAAACAGAGAAATAAAGGCAGTTTACAGAGTGTTTCTGCTCCCATAAAACGACAACAGGGCTTTTGTGTTTCTCGGCCGTATTAACGAGCTTCTTGGCAATGTCCATGCTCGCTGAATTTATTACGTTCTCTTGACAAAGATTTTCTGCATAGTCTGACTGAAGACGCACTTCTTTGGGACATGCACTTGCAAACATAACTGATTGCAAATGGGGGCACTGATAAGTACCTACATTGCCTCTTGCTGCAACACCCAAAGCTAAATTGCAGTGTTCATGTTCACATTGCATCTGTTGAGTTACAGTGTTCATTTGCACATGCAGTGGGTAGTCTGGACCAGTTCTTGACTTGCTTATCATGAACAGACCGCGCTGTTTATCAACGCAAATCCCACGATGGTGTATCAAGTCATCCCGCGCATTGTGTTTCTTTGCATGTCTTTTGATATTCTTTTTCGAGATCAGGGCATTACAGATGAAACATGTCTCTTTCGGATCTTGGTCTCGCTGTACTTTTTGGATGCTCTGTGATTGGGAAGAAGTCATTTTCTCTTGAACATTTGCAGATTTTGCCTGAGCAATTGGGCAAACGGTGTTCCTATGTCGAACAAGAGAGAACTTTCTTCGGAAAACTTTACCACATGGGCAGTGGTAATGTCCCCTGTCTTGTTTTGGAATGCATTCCAAAAAACAGTTTAACACCCAAACATCTGCAAAGACACAAATTACGACTAGAGTATCAACAGTTATGTCAAAAACATATCAGCATTGTGGCTTTGAGGTTATGTTATAGATACCTTTAGAACCGAATGAATACTGAGATACCATTACTAGTTTAAACAACCCAACAATATTAACTTGTACATACCACCAATTTTGACAGCATTTCGTGTATGCCTGTGTATATGACCTTCCCTGACATTGTGACGCCGTGAGCTTGATTCCGGACAGAGTTTACATTGGTAGCTCCCGTCAACATTCACCAATAAACTCACACATGTCTTCAGATCTTTTGTGTGCCATATGTTTTCATTCTGTAGAGCAATATAGAAGGTTTGACATCAACATTGTAACAAGGAGACTGTAAAGTATTCTCGGTGACGTTAATGTCAAGCCTTTTGCGTTTATGTGTTCATATAAGAAAATGCGCATGTTACCATCCATTAACTTAGGAATCGTATGATAATATTTGTATGGGACAAGCCTTTAGGAAATATCGTAACACTACTGAAATTACACAGTGATATCATAATCATATCACTACTGTAGATCATAATACTCACGTTTGTATTACACCGTCCATGCCTAGAAGAAGCAAAATAAAGACAACATATACCATTCAAGAAATGAGTACAGTTAAGGGAATACTGAAATGATTGGCAATATTGATCTGTTTCTGCACCAGTGTAAGCAGTTTGAACTGAAATCAATGTCTGTAAAACACATTCATGCACATGCACACTCACACGCACACGTACACATGCCCTTAAATTTGGCCACTGTCGGCCCTCTGTGTATATATACAGTATATATTACCACACCGTTAATGAGGGGCAGCCGCCTTTTCTTCAAGCTGTTTGTAATATTACTCATTCAAATATACTAGGCACATAAAGAAACTGTGCATACAAAAATTTAAAATCTAAACTTATCAAACCTGTGTAGACACATAGGGATTCAAACTCAGAAATAAGTGACATGTATCCAACATGCATGCACGTGCCACGTTCCGTGACGTCAGTGGGTTCGTCCTTGAGACGTGCACTACGTTGTTGCACGTGCATTCCGGGAAAGAGAAACAGGAAATGAATGCCACACAATACTGCCACTTTGGAAAGCTCAACCCCTGCCCTTGCGATTGTTCAAAAAAGTAAACAGCTATTGAAACGCATAGCATGCCAAGCCTCACGCCTGCACAACGTCATGAGGCCATTCGGATGGTCCGTGGGGGGAATGTCTCAACGACAAGTGGCTGCACGTTTCCACTGCCACCGGAACGCCATTTCTGCACTGGTGAGACGCTACAAGAACACAAATGACGTCATCGATCGGTCACGTTCTGGACGTCCACGTGTAACAACGCCAAGACAGGACATATGGATAAGGGTGACCCATCTTCGCCACAATCCAGGACTTCGCCGTATCCACCCAAACACAGTTCGACAACGTTTACGTCATCACGGGATCAGACCACGACGTCCCGCCCTACGGCCTATCCTGACACAACGTCATGGACAAGCTCGCCGAATGTGCTGCCGAAATCATGTCCACAGAACCTTGTTTTGGTGGAGAAATGTTGTTTTTTACAGATGAGTCCAGGTTCAACATTTCCCATAGTGATGGACGTCAACGTGCCTATACGTTATGCACAGGCCTGCGTCTTGGAGAGGAATCGCTTTGGTGGTAGTTCCGTGATGATTTGGGGTGGAATAGGAGCATGCCAAAGAACTCTTTTGGTGATTGTTCAGGGCAACTTAACTGGTGTGGGCTACAGGGATGAGATTCTTCGACCTGTGGCAATTCCTTTTCTGCAACGTCATGGCCCTGGGTTAACATTCCAACAGGACAATGCCCGCCCTCATACGGCAAGGGTTGCTATGGATTTCTTGCAACACCACAACGTTGACTTACTGTCTTGGCCTGCAAATTCACCGGATAATTCCCCGATAGAGCATGTTTGGGACGAGATGGATCGACGTCTACGCCGTCTTCCTCATCCGCCAGATAACGTCCTTGACCTTGCAACAGAGGTTGAGAGAATCTGGCGTGACATCTCACAAGCCTTCCACGTTTGATAAGCTCTACGCGTCGTCGATGTTCTGTTCTCAATGCCAATGGTGGACATACCCGTTATTGAGCTTGTGACATGGTCGTTTGACCCCTGTCCCGCTTGTGGACTCGTGACGTCATTGTGATTGACTTTTCAATTGAAATTCTCCCGATTTGTTATGGTCTCATGATCCCTCCATTAACGTTTATGTGTACCTTTGTTATCGTACTTTTCAACTGGGATAATATTTTTACAAAGCACAGTTTCTTTATGTGGCCAGTATATATTCTAAAAACTGTTAACAGTCTTTGATCTAACTCACCTATAAATCAAGAGGTATGACAGTTGAATGAGATATTTCACCACTCTATATCTTTATATCACTTATCGTATAGCCCTTGTTACTCTTAAAGGTCACATGCAACGTAAAACACAACTTTGCAGATTCTGATACCTTTCGGTATGGACATACCGAAACAAATCGTCAAAAATGCAAATTCAACTTATAAAGTTGAAAAATAACGCGATGAAAAAAACCGCGCGAAATCGGAGTTCAAACGTTTCACTAATTTTCCCCAGACTTTTCTGGGGAAAACGGGTTTCAACAGCTGGGCTGCGCTCATAGCACGTGCGCAAGTAAATAGGTTCGCGCAGCTTGGAAGCGGGTTGTCGGGTGAATACTCGGTGAAGGCTTTGGTGTGAGCTATTTTTCTAATGTTTTGTTGATATCTCACAGGCGCGAGCTTTTTTATATGTTATGACAGTAAATTAACTGTTTATATAATTTCATTGGTCTATTTCATCACACGTTCTTCTTACCGAGACACTTTCTCAGTTCGATACTTAAAAGCAATGTCAATATTTAGCGTTGACAGAATTTCTAACTGTGATATAGATATGTCGTTGTCACAGACAAAACTCAATGTCTTGTTTTATTGACACCTGTGTGTCTGCCTGCCTGTCTGCTAATGACAATATTCAATACACGGCTGCTGTCACTGACCACAAGCGATTTGAACTTAACACCAATCAGGCATTACACCATAAACAAAATGCATTGATTTATGGCCCGAGTTCGGTCTCTGTCACATTATGTAATTACACAGACAGGTAGGCGTGATACTTGAACACATGACATGTTATGATGTCTGTTGATTGCAAAATGTTATACACAAAAAATGAGCATGTATTTACAAAACCCAACATCTCTCTCTATATATACACACAATTAGCCGTGAAGGCATCTGCAAATGAACCAGCCGTTACACTTGAGTGCACACCCACCCGCTCTGACTGGGTTCGGTATCCCGGCTGCTTCGTTTCTTGGTAAGTAAACCGAAGTACACAATTTTGCACTTTTGATGAGCGATTGTAAGCTTATAATTTGGTTTATATGTTTTTTTCATAACCAGCAATGTATATTATATGTCATGAATAAGTGATAATTGTGTTTTAATTATGTTTGATTTTTTGGTTGCATGTGACCTTTAACACTCTGTCAATGTCCATGCCATTCCACACATGCAATACGATATCTGACTAATGTAAAAATGTCTCAAAAGTAGATTTTAAAAAAAGGACAGCTGATGGTAGCACATGTGTTCTAGGGATAGTTTTGCGTTCTTTAACATGGTTGGGGAGGGATGGCCGTGGTGTATCATTTATTCTTTCATTCATTCACATATGCATTTCTTTATTTTGTTCTTTTTCTTTATTTCTTTCATTCATTCACACATAATTCTTGCTCTTAATTCATTTATTTATTCATTCATTCATTCATTGTACAATTCCGACTGATACAATAAACTGGCTGAAGTACTGTTAAACGCAGCCGAAGTTGCCCTGAGAACGAACCAAGTCACCGTGTGCGTTGGAGCATGACGAGGCACACGCTAATTAGTACAAATGGTCAAGAAGCAAGCGAGTGACCTATCCCTGTTGTAGATTATCCCTGCTGTAACCAAGTTCTCTACCAGTGAACATTCACACTGGTGGGGAATTTTAGGGCAAACTTTTATTGTCTTTCCCCCGATTCCCAATGCAGTATACAGTCATATTTGAATATTCACTAGCATTTTGTTTTGGCCCTTTTTATAAATTTTCGCCGGCCCGCTCCATTGTTGGAACAGTCAGGCGACGAGAAACACATAATTAAATACGAACGCCTTTTTGAAATCACATTTTTGTGACATTTACAACACAATATAACGATTTCATACCTTGGTGAAGGAAAATTGTGAAGCGTTATTGAACGCTTCTTTACACTTTCTTGTCATGACGTCCGACGTGTTGGATCACACTGTATGTATTTGATAAACAAAACGATCATATAACTTGAAACATGATAAGAGCTCCATTTAATATTATAAATGTTGAAGTGTGGGTGGTGATACCTTTTGTTACGCCCTTTGTCGTAATTTAGCATAAACAAGAAGTAAGTTTTTAGGAAAGGAAAATGTTTTGAAAAAATCGCATACTGGCCAAAATACATGACCATTGGGAGACATATTGGTTGAATGGAGTAAAAACACCTTGAAGACTAACAGTTATGTGACACAGCCACATAAATATGAGTTTCAAGTAAGGAGAAGCATCCTCGCTCATAGGCCTGTCCCTGGCCTGTCCCTGGTATACAAGCTTGCTATTTATTACAATGAAATAGCATATTTAATTTTGCCACAGCGCGGAATTGTTTTTGACAAATGGGTTTCCAGAATGAAATTATCCAAATGCACTATTACAATATCACACTTCATGACTTACGCCAGAATCGGCCATAGTTGTAAAGTGCACATATAGCATTACATAAACTGCTACACTTCCGGAGAAATAATTGTGAGTATCTTATGTAAAAGCTTCATCATTTGCATTCTAT